CTAATTCCCATTAACCAGATAGAATTTCTTTGTTATCTTTTTGTCAAACTTCAACAAATCTATATACATGCACAAAGCAATTACATTGACTCACAATTACTTTCAGAAACCTGTATCTCTTGAAACCTTTTAATTACTGTTGTTCATGTAATGTGAGTCTCAATTCTGTCATGGCTCTAGGACTTTAAGTCTTTCTAAGTGATTATCTTTTTGGTCAGCTTTTCTTGCAGACAAATTAGATCAACATCTGCATTGGCCTGCAAGAACACGAGGCAAACAAGTGAACAACAAGGTGACACGCCAGATATTGCTCTGAAACTTATTTGATTAAATCATCATAATGGTACCTCACTTTGGATTGTGTAAAGAAATTCTTCATTAAATTTTGTGTAGACACAGCTAACAACAGTAAGACTTCATCAAGCAGCACTTTCAGTATCCTTGATAGAGGAAACCATTTAGTATGTGCCAAGTAATTCTTCATCAGAATTTCAATTCCACCACCCAAGCATGGCCTGACCATGAACGTACGATAATTTTGTTTCCTCAACATTTTTGACTTCCAGATGAATCAATCCACCAGTTAAGTTTCGAAGCTTATCCTTCTTTACTTCCAATTTTTTAATATTCTTCTCCATGTGTTCTATATGGTTCGCTGCCTGAAGAACATGATCTGATACTGAATGCTTTCTCTGAAAAAGGAAAAGAAAATCAATGAATCTTGAATCTAATACTAAACTAGCCAAAAAAAAACAAAAAAAGAGTCAACATTGTATTTTGTTTGATCAAGAAAAAAAAAAGAAAAGAAAAGGAATACAGGTACAAGGGTGTAAAAGGCGTGAAAAGTGCAGAAGTAAAATCTCAACAAATCAATCTCCAAGAACCGAAATTGAGCAGTAGATGCTGATGAATTTTTACTTCTTATTATGCATAAAAATTGAGAATTCATCAGTTAATTGAATCAGCAAGTCCAGCTTCATCAACTTTTACATTCAAGAGGCAGCAGATTTCCAAGAGAAGCATAAAGCCGAGCCGTTTCTTGCCTCCTTTGACGCTCGATATCTCTGTGATGGGCTTTTTTCTGCTGGTTGGCATCAGGGTTCTTCCCACAATCATGATTATCAACTCGAATAGCTGATAGTGGCTTTCGTTGCCTTTTCCGAGCCGAGTTGAACTTGGTATTGATGATGATCTCCTTAGTATCTTGTTGATATGAAGCAAGTGAAGATGGAACCAATTTGCAGATCTTGATGATGGATTGTGGGGTCTTTTTTTTTTTTTTTTTGGTTGCCTGCCACGGTATCCAGGGCTTTGCCCTGACTAATCCGTTGGTCGACCCGGGTCGCACACCTGGCTGTGGTGGGTGAGTCTCCCAACAAGGGTAGCTGCATACGCCAGGTTTCGAACCCGAGACCTGCTTAAGCGGAACCAAGCTGCTTACCACTTGGCCCAACCCCAGTTGGTGATTGTGGGGTCTTTTAGGTGGGGATAAATGGATGGCTTTGGCGAATATTGAAATAGCATTGGATCATCTTGCTGTAAAGGAGTTAAATTATTAGTAAAGTCATCAATGTTCAGCCAACTGCTTTCTTAGCTTAATATTCTGTGATATGATGAAGCTGACAAACGAAGGATACGTTTGTTAGGATAATTGATAATATGAGATCTCCTAAAAGGGCTGAGGATTCCAAGAATAATTCCTGCAATATCTTCATAAACAAATAGCAATCAGGATTGAGTAGTTCTCCCCTCTCACCCGCCAATTTTTAATTTAAATTGACACATGGGGAGTCCAGCTTCTCACCTAGAGCCATTTATAAAAAAAAAAATGTAGCATTAAACTATTAGTATTTAATTTGATTGAACGTGAAGCAACGTGAATAAATAATGGAAGAAGTGTAGTATTAAACTATTAATTTTCAATTTTGATTGAATTAGAAGTAAACTTGAACTAATAATGGAAGAAGTGCACTGCTTTTAATTTTCATTTTTTGAAAGTTTTCTTGTATCAAGGACTTAGGGGGTTTGGTTAGGGCGTGTTGCAGTAGTACTTGGATAGATGATTCTTACGATGATATATGGATCATGGGCTAATTTTTTTTTTTTTTTGGGTGTGGGCTTTTGTGTTTAATTTTGCTTGGTGAACTTATAGTGTTGGTTATTATTATTATTTTTATTTTTAGTATAAGTAAGACGTTTTGAACTTGGTATCTCTTACTTATACTCCCTTCTCGTATCACCTAATTCATCTTTCTCCCAAATATTGGTTTGTTTATTATAATGGGAAGACTTATCATACGGCAAATGATTTGGAACCAATCATTTATTTGGTCGACCTAAGATGAATATCACATCGGAAAGGGAGTTTTGATAAAAAGTTACTAAATGAAGTTTCAAAACTTTTCTTGATGTAATTTTGAGTTTGAGCAGCTAAGTATTGAGGTTTCTACCAATGAACTGTTTAGAGAAATATGTTATGACAATATTAACATAGTTAAAGTGTGTGCCACCATCTTTTAAGGTGTTTCTTGTCTTCTTATTAAAAAGCAAATTACCCCTAAGCTAGTATAAAGTCATAAGAAATCATCCAAAATTAGCGTGTGACATTTCTAAGAAGACTTGTACTTTTTAGAGACGAAGAATTCAGATTAACAAAGTATTTTAATTGTCTGGTTTAAATAGACATGTCTATTTAGATTAACTGGCGATTTAACTATGAAATTAAATTAATATAAAATTCGTTACTCAGCCTCTAAAATGCCAGCCCCAATAGATTTCATTTTTGAGACTAAAATTAAATAAATTAATATTCAAACCAATCAGAGAGATCTAGAATACCAAATAATTAAGGAAACAAAATAAAAAGCCCTTGCCACTTGCAAAAAGGATTTTTTTTTTAATTGTACGTGAAGTGTTTTAAATCCGAGATCTCTCACTTCCCCCCATACCATCCAACCAAATAATTTAAGGGTATTTATGTCCTTTCATTTAGCTGTTATCATTGACCATTAATTAAGGGGCAAAGTACTCAAGAAATAACATTAGAGGCAAAATGCAATTCACCCCAAATGTTAAGGTGACTTAATGCAATTAATCCTTTTTATTTCGAGTGGACCTTGAACTACTTGTTTAAGATTAATTCAATTAGGTTGCCAATGAAACGATTGCAACCATCACCAAGCAAAAACCAACAGCTTATCCTGCCCATTAGAATGAAGAAGAAAATGCATGAAAAATTAGAAATCCAAATGGTGGTAATTAATGTTAGCGAACGAACCACTTGAACAAAGCAAACATGGTGAGTTGGCCACGAAGGTGTTGTCGGAATTTTGGAAATTTTTACAGCCTTCAGTGCTCTGAGGAGTACCAAAAGCATGATATTTTCTCCTGCTTTTCGGGAACTTTATTAATTCTTCGTCGTTTTTTATTAACTTAATACCTCTTGGGATCAGTATGAACAGAAAATCGATTGCCTGGACTTTTTTGGATTTTGTGGCGCCTATGAATAGAAGATGTTCCATTTCCGGTGTCCATTTGGGATTTTGCTTACAACTTACAAGTAGAATTGTTAATAGAGTCAGGTCAGTTCGAGTTGAGCCTGTTCAGCTAGAGAAAAAGCTCGATGAGCTTAACTTTTCATTGAGTTGGGCTAAGTTAGGATCTAAATATTATGTCCAAATTAAATGTGAGTTGATTTTGGACCTTATTAAACTCAAATTCAATATAGGTCTGATCCTTCTATATCTGTATATGATTATATATAATATAATCATATTTTGGTATATATAACTATATATCTAAATATATAATACTAATACTTTATACTTGTCAAAATATATTAATATATATAAGAAATATTAAATATATAAGCAACGACCCAAAACCCTAAATATACTTATGAGTTAGGATCAACAATTTTGTTGCTTTCTTGATGGCCAATAGTGCTAATTTTATTTAAACTCTAACTTTGCTTTTGGTTTAGTAAATTTTTGTGTTGGCATGGTATTAGCTACTTCTTATGCCAAGTAGGTAGATTCTTGGTTTAGCTATCTCAATATCTCTAATATGTTACCTAGATGTTGACTCACTGCCTTTTGTAATGGCTAATTGTATTTTAATTAAACGTATATGGGTAGTTTCAATGACAAAATATGCCTTATGTATACCCTACCAGTTTAAAGTCTACATGAACTGATTACCATAATTTCTCGATCTATTTTCTTTTCTTGTAAGTTCTTATGTGACTCATGAGACAAATCAATTTGTTTATTTCTATTTGAATTCAAAAGCTGTATTTCTATTCAAATTTGGTCACTATAATAAAAGAGAGTGGGCAAATCTTAGCATGAGAAAATTGAGGATCTTGGAAGATGTATTGACTGTTGATCGTATTTTATTACTATTTTTTCATGTACTCTAAACTAATTGGATATATTATTGTTAAAAAATTCCTTGGTTTATATACTTTTTATTGAATTGTTGTTGGTCCATGTATAGTTCTAATGTTGTAATCCTGTGGATGTTAAATTAGCTCTAGAACTTAACAATTATAGTAATTATATTAAGAAATTAAAAAGCAATAAGTGAGTTTGGATTAAAGCTGAATTAGGCTTATAGTTCGAATATTTTGTGAGTTTAGTATGAGTTTCATATTTGTTAACCCAAAATTCATAACTCGAAACACAAAAGTGGTACTAACTATATGAATCAAGACTTAACTTGTTAAAACTATTCTCAAATGACCCAATTAACAGGCTTATTTACAAGTTACAACCCAATAAGAATTATTATCTAGTGATACTAGAGTGATTCATAATCTTTTTGTGATATCCTATTCCAAATCGAAAAAGTTAAGTGCTATGAATCAATATATAAGTAAAGCTAGAGCACACAAGTCCATTTTTAGATATTCAATTTAGGTTAATGAGGACGGAACCAAATAGTTGAGCTTTGCTTTTTTTTTTTTTTTTTTTTCTCGAAACGATAATTGGTTGTATTACTTGACAAAAGATTTACAAGTACGAGCAAAGGCTCGAATGAACTTTACAAGCGGCTTTACTTGCCACTAAGGAAACCAATGTTCCTCATCTAGAATAATGCCCAAGGCATATTTACTAAGCTTAGTGCTTAGTTGATTGTTATCATTATGAACTAGGCAAAAGGAGCACTTATGAAACAAATCTCTGAGTTGTAAAATATCGTCCACAACAGTAGCCAATCTGATATCGCTTACACCTGCTGTTCGAACCTGATTGAGGAGCTGTCGGTTTGGCACTTGAAATTGCACATCCCTGAATTGCAAAGTCGCAGCTTTACACATTGCTAGCTTCAGTGCAGTTGCTTCGTCTAGCAGTCCTGAACCTGAACTGCTTTCTCGTAGTGTCCAACCTCTTTTTGCACCTTGATTTCCTTCCTGCAAAGTAATCCCAATACCGAAGCAAGACTTTGTCATATCTCTAGTTATTCCTATCCTCAATATCAAGCACCCATGTTCAGGATTTCGCTGCTGATTCTGTTGATGTAGAGCTTCTGTTTCATCTGTGCTCATACTAGTTCCCTTCCTATCTATTTCCCCAAGTTCTAACCATTCCTGGTGCGCCTTCTGGATTGTCTTCCATGGATGACTTTCCTTACCATTGAACTCCTCCTCATTTCTGTCTTTCCATATCTGCCAGAGAATATGGACTGATGGAGCAATATGTTGCCATCCTTCAGCTCTGGTTCTTGCATCTAAAATTTCGATCCACCATCTTCTGAAACAGCCTTGGTGTTCCATCATACCTTCCCATTGAATGGGGGCCAGCTTCCATGTCTGTTTAACTTTGCTGCAATTCAAAAGGGTATGTTCAATAGTTTCCCTGTCTTCTCCACACCTGTTGCAGATGGGATCACCTACTTTAATTCTACGAAATATGATGTCTCGCACAGGCAGTGCATTGTTGAGGCATTTCCATAAGAAAACCTTCTGTTTCTGCTTCACCTTCAGTTTCCATAAGTCCTTCCATAACCTTTGGGATTGATTTTCCAGACTTGTAGAACCCTCCAGCTGGTTCCTTTGCTGCCTGATATCTTTGTTCATAACCAGTAGCTTGTACCCTGAGCTGACTGAATAATGGCCACCAGCCCCTTTTATCCAAAAGTTTGCATCCTCCTTTCCTGCTAAACTAACAGGGATTGTCAAGATAGTTTCTGCATCTTTTTTATTAAAGTGTTTGAAGACTAGATTTCTGTTCCATCTTTTCTGGCAAATTAGCTCATGTACTTGCTGAAGTGCATTATCAGAATTTCTCGGGGTTGTCACTCTTCCATCAAGTGTATCCGGAATCCACCTATCTTCCCAGATATTAGTTTTCCTCCCATTTCCTATCTTGCGTCTGGTTCCTTGTTCCACCAACTCCCGGGCCCCCATAAGACTCCTCCAAATCCAAGAAGCATTGTTGGGAACTTTGCACTTGAATATAGATGATCGTGGAAAATATTTTGCCTTCATGACTTGACTAACCAGCAAATTAGGTTGTGTTAGCATCCTCCACCCCTGCTTGCCAAGGAGAGCTGTATTGTAAGCCATCAGATCTTTGAAGCCTAAACCTCCCATGTACTTGTTTCGAGTAAGCTTTTTCCATGCACACCAATGTATTTTATTCTTACCATTTGCCTCCCCCCACCAGTAATTTGCCATTAAGGAACTAATTTCCTTACACAATTTGGATGGCAGCTGGAAACAGGATATGGTGTACGTTGGCATAGCTAAAGCCACAGATTTAAGCATTGTTTCCTTACCAGCTGCACTTAATAACCTGTTTTTCCACTTTAGCATTCGCTGGTGTATGGAAGTCTTAATAAATCCAAAAAGCTGCTGTTTTGATCCTGAAACTACCATTGGTAGTCCAAGATACTTGCCCTGACTAACTCTTTGCATATTCCCCATGGTTTGACAGATCTCGTCCATCAATTGTAGCCTGACATTCTTACTGAAGAGTATGGAAGACTTTTCCAAATTTATCTCCTGACCTGACCCCATGCCATACACTTTCAGCACCCTCCTTAACTCATTTGCCTGATCCAGATTAGCTTTGCAAAAGATCACAGAGTCATCCGCAAAGAGAAGGTGTGTTATACTAGGTCCCTGTCTACTTATTTTCATCCCTGCGAGCTTCTTAGAATCTGCCGCCTTCCTGATAAGGTTGGATAGTCCCTCAGAGCACAAAAGGAATAGATAAGGGGATAGAGGGTCCCCTTGTTTAATTCCTCTTTTTGGAATTACAAACTCTTTAACCTCCCCGTTTATATTAAACGAGTACGACACAGACTTCACACACTCCATAACCCAGTTCCTCCATTTACAGTCGAAGCCCATTTTTTCCATTATTGCCTCCAGGAAACTCCATTCAACTCGATCGTACGCCTTGGACATGTCAAGCTTCACTGCCAAAAACCCATCCTTACCTTGTTTCTTGTTTTTTAAATAATGCATGTACTCATGAGAGACCATAATATTATCAAGAATCTGCCTACCAGGAATGAAGGCAGATTGATTTTTACAAATGCAACAATGCAAGACACTTTTGAGCCTGTTTGCTAAGATTTTAGCTATCACCTTATATAAGGTAGTGCAAAGACTTATGGGTCTGAATTGCTTTAGAGATGTAGGAATCTGCACTTTGGGAATTAGAGTGATAATAGTATGATTAACACTCTTTAGGAGGTGGCCAGTATGAAAAAACGTCTGAATAGCCTTTATCACTTGTTGTTTGATGGTTGTCCAGAATTTTTGGAAAAAAAGTGGTGACATACCATCAATCCCAGGGGCTTTTTCTGGATTCATAGAGAAAATTACAGATTTTATTTCTTCTTCCAACACTGGTTTTAACAGGTTTCTATTCAATTCATCAGTGATGGTATGGGGAATACCATGCAAAACCTCATTTAAGTCCCCTCCCTCATTACTGTCCAGCAAAATCCTATAGTAACCTGCTATTTCAGTACTCAACTCCTCCTCACTCTCTGTCCACGTCCCATCCTCTCTCTGGAGTTTATGCAAGCTGTTTCTCCTTCTCCTTCCCTGTACAGATGCATGAAAAAACTTTGTATTTTTGTCTCCTTCCTTGAGCCATTGTATCCTTGATTTCTGTTGCCAGTGCTTCTCTTCTTCCTTGTAAGCCTTACTTAACTCTTTCTTAAGGGCAGCCATACTAATATTTCTAGAGTTCCCTCTAACTTCTTTCAAGTCGCATAGCTGCTTTTTAATGAGCTCAATCTTGTCCCTAGAGTTAGCTTGGAAGTTGTTCTTCCATTTTAGGAGAGCTACACGGCAGTTCTTAATCTTTGTAGCCACTTGATACATCCTTGACCCCTCCACCTGCTGTTCCCAAGCAATCCTGATTACCTCCCCAATGTCCTCTCGTTTTAACCATCTTTTATCGAAAAAGAACCTGTGTTTCCTTCTGCTCGAGCTCATCATTGTGTCGAACATCAGGATGCTATGATCCGAGGCATAAGAATCAATATGCCTGCAATTGACCATATCAAACACCTGAAACCAGGGGTAGGTGCAAAGACCTCTATCCAACCTTTGTTTGACTTCTCCCTCTTCCTCCCAATTGTTGCACCAAGTCCACGGATGACCAATAAATCCAATATCCAGCAAATAATTTCCATTAATAAAATCTCTGAAGTCATGAAAGGATTTCTCCTCTCTACGAATCCCTCCCCACTTTTCGTCATTAGAGACTAAATCATTAAAATCCCCAGCTATCATCCATCTATCTCCCCACAATCTTTTCTGATTAGCTAAGACTTTCCGTTGTTCTTTTCTAATCTGATGATCACAGCTCGCGTAAATTCCTATAAACCACCAATCAATATTAGCTTCCATATCCTCCACGTGAGCTTCAATGGTAAAGGAAGTCATAAGGACCTCAAGAATTTTCACCTCATCTTTCCAGAAAAGAGCCATACCTCCTGCCTTATGCATAGCCTCAACCACCACCATTTCTTCAAATCTTAAAATGTTTTTCACTTTTTCTAAATATCTAGTCCTATTTTTGGTCTCACTTAAAAACACTAAACTTGGAGAGAAGAGGTTATTAACCTCTCTCAACTGGGGAACTGTCAAGGGGCTCCCCACTCCTTGGCAATTCCACACCTGGACCCTCATTTACCCCCTGGGGTCCTTATAGGGAAGGACCCTTCACCCTCTGCCCCTAAATCCTCTGAACCTCCAACTATGTCGAGCTTACTCTTTTTCTTTTGCAGGTCTTCACCCTTATCAATATCCAAATCCACTTCCAATTCATTAATTTTTCTCTTCCCAAGGTTTTTCAGATTCCCCAGATTAATACTGATCCCTTTTAAAGCCTGTTTACGTTTACTAGGAGCTCTCAGAGGTCTCTGAGCCCTTCTAATATGCTTCCTAACAACCTCTTGCTGCTTAGTGATGCTCACATCATCTACTTGCATGACCATAGGCTCATTTTTTGCCTCCTCAGTGTCAGCCTGCACCTCGAAATGCATCTGCTGCTCCCTCAAAATAGTATCTCGTTCTCCATCCACTTCCATGAGCGGTTGTCCAACCTTTTCCTTCCCCGCCAGCTCTTCTTCATTCTTTGTTAACCCCCCTTCTGAAGTGGACATAGGGACCTCTACCCTCACTCCTCCTATCTGGCTAGGGAATGGTAAGGTATGAGCGGGTGTAACTCTCGACGCCTCTCTCTGACCTACTACCAACTCCTGTCCCCTATTCCTGTTACTCTCCTCTGCCAGTCCTTTATTGCTCTCCACCCCCTGTATATTGGGAAGACTCTCCCCCCTCTCGATCTCTACCCATTCTCCCTGCTGGTATCTCCAGTGCTGACTTGGAGTATTAACAAAAACCCCTGTTTGGTTTTTCTGTGGCCCCATTTTCGCGTTCCCATTTCCCGTCCTCATCCAGCTCCCATATTCGTTATCCTTTTTCCCTTCAATCACCCCTCCTGCCATCCCGCAAGATCTCTCACTATGTCCTATTCTTCCACACCTATAGTAAAAATCCGGGCATCTCTCATACTTAAATTGAACCCATTTAGTCACACCAGCCACCTTAATAGAGGTGCCTCTTAACAGGGGTTGATCTATGTCGACCTGAACAGCTAACTTGAGGTGCCTACCCTCTTTTCCTCCTGTTTGGGGTATAATGACATCCCTAACCAGATGAAAAACAGAGCCTATCTTCTTACCAACTTCCTTAGAAATGCAATGGACAGGAAGATTCCAGACTTGCACCCATAATGATGCAGTATTAAAGGCTTTAACATCATCTTCTATCCCCTCATACCATTTATTCATCACTAATAACTGGTTATCCAAAATCCAAGGACCTCCCTTAACTATTCTATCCCTATCACCCTCCTTAGGCAAAAAGAATTGAAACAGGTTCGGTCCTAACTCCGCAACAATCATATCTTTGGGGTATCCCCATGCAGCAGTAACAAAGTTCTTGACTCCTGTATAGTTGGCTATCTTCTCTCCCACAATCTTCCCTAGCAAGCTGCCTTGACATTCCTTTATACCTAGTGTTAACTCATCTGTTCCAACCTCAGTAACCTGCATTTCTTTACTGGAGAGGGTGAAACCTTTCAGAATATCCGCTATCTCCTCAGCCATTGGGCTTGAAAGGAGGTAGAGATGGTAAAATTCTCACACACACACGAAACTGAACAGAAACCCGAAAACCCCAAACTGGGAGATTAAACAAATCTGTTATTCTCAAGGTAAGACACAGAAAAGACAACGACAGACCAAAACAAGATGAACCTACCTCTAATGCACCTACATTACCAAACAAGGTAAGAAGAGACAATGTCCGTGAGCTGACCTGCCAGTGAAAACCCACACCATTGATGCATCGTCTTCTCCCTTAGATCTGGAACCTCCATTTGCAGCAGCTTTAATGGAACCCCATGATGTAGTATTATGGGTGTCAAGTACAAACTGCTCCTCAGAATAGTGACACTTCCCTCCTACTTGCTAAAATAGGTATCCGACACAGAACCTTCTACATCAAAGTGGAAGTGATGAGAGATTTGTCTGAAAGTGAAAAAGGTTGAGTCTTTTAATTCTTTATTGCTACTCAGTAACTTTTCAGATCTTCCACAATGGAAAGAAAAGCTCTCTTTTTAGAGAGAGAAGGTCCCCTACAAGAGAAAGGAACTTTTACGATGTCTCTGTCAATAAATAATTGAGCTTTGCTGCTGAAACCAAGTTGTGCCTTAGGTTTGCATGCCTAGAGTGTGACATTTTAGTATCAGAATGAATTTCATGTGGTCTCTGCATGAGGCGAAACTAGACATATGGTATTGAGTCGCGACTACACAAGATGCTACGTTGACTTAAGAGTGGAAACCAATTTTAGAACCCGTACAAGCTACCTCGAGAATCCAATACATCTGATTGGATAATGCAAAGCCTGAAAAAGATCCAAGGAATTGGATTAGTTTTGCAAGGACTCAAAGTTTTAAAAAGAGGGATGACTAAGATATTCCGTTTTACATCCAAAAAAAAAAGTGCTATGAACCAATATATGAGTAGAGTCTGAATACTTAAGTCAAACTTTAGATATTCATTTTTAATTAATAAAAATGGAGACCGAATACTTAGACTTAACTACTGACACTAGGGTTACTTGGGTTTGTGGACGCAGGATGTGACACTTATACTTCGAGGAATGACTGGAAACCCAGCAATTTAAAACTGATAATGAAAACATTATCACCCCAAAAACTAGATTTAT